AATATGGGCCAACATTTCTAAAGAATGCTTTCAGCACCTTGTTGAATCAATGCCACGTAGAATTAAGGCAGTTCTGAAGGCAAAAGGGGGTCAAACACCGTATTAGTATGGTGTTCCTAATAAATGTATATTGTAGCACTGGCAAGAGAGGCTTCGCTAGCGGAGCTTTTCCCCGTGCATTCTGGGTGTTCATGCCCCTTTATACTTTCACTATAAATAGTGTTGTGTAGCCGATATTGTATGCGACCCTGCTTAGATTTGTGCTCACCCCTTGTTAGATCCAGATGTGTTGTAGTTACCGTGTGTATCACCTACCAGGTGTATGTGTTACTGTTCCCATTGGAACCTCCTGGTGCTTCCATGTAGAGAAAGGAGGAGGTCGGATCATTGTGATTTACTGTCCTGTTGAGTGTTGAGTCCTTTTAAGGGCTATTAATAAAAGAGCCTTTCCTGGGAAAAGATGCTGCCTTGCTTCTTGTCTGCCACTGCCTTGCCGGGTCCCGGGAATGCTGCTTCCACCCTTTACCTGTAAACACACTCCTAAACCTTGTGGACAGCCTTCCCAGAAGAGTTGAAACTGTCGGCAAAGGGTGGGCCAACTCCATATTAAAGCCTATGTATTAAGAATGGGATGTCATTAAAGTTCATGTGTGTGTAGAGGCAGATGTTCCAATACTTTTGGCAATATAGTGTATTTAGGGTTATGGTGAAGTTGGTTTATTCATATTATACCCAGCTGTCACAAATGCCACAAAAACAGTATTCTTGTATTCTTCATGTGCTGTGAGTTCTATTTCTGACCAGTTGTTTTAAGTTTATCCATATTGTTAGATACTGTGGTTGACAAAACAGTAATGGGGGAAGTTTGTCACACCTAATAGTCAGAATTGTATATGTTTTTGTAATGTTGATAATTTTGTACACGGCTTTTTGGTTTTCCAGTAAATTTCTTTTGTTAATCTATTGTGGTGTGCTTTGAATCATTGTAAAAAAACAAGTGATGAGAGGAAATATGGTCATTTTTATAATGCACTACACCCTGTAACAGAGTCCTTTTGGTTCTTCCAGTGGTTTAAATTGTTTTCAGTTTTTTAAGTATTTGGGAGAAATTAAGATGGAATATTTCTGGCATATTTGAAGAGATATTTATGCCATTAATTATAATGAATGGAAAGTGGAGCTCCTGACAAGCAACTAACTGGCAAGTTCTATCTAATAGAATACCTGACATCTTTGAATAAGTGTCAATTCATTAACAAGTCATTCTGACAGATTAGAAAACCATGATTAAAAGTTATTTTCTTGTGATCATTTAACAATGTAATATTTCTTACATTTTATCTGAAAAGAATATCTCAATAATTGAATTGCATGCTAAATTTCTGTAAAAATCAGCACGGAATGTTAAATTGTGATGCCATATTGCTTGCAGGTGGTAGATGTGGGCAGTAAGCTGATCATCCCAGGCATTATTGACTGTCATGTCCATGTTAATGAGCCAGGCAGAACAACTTGGGAGGGGTACTGGACTGCAACACAAGCAGCAGCAGCAGGAGGGGTCACTACTATCGTAGACATGCCCCTGTAAGTAAATATGCTTCCTCAGAAACTCTTATCAAAAGTTCATAGGGAAAAACAAGTTGTATATTGTATATCGCATTCTTTATTAAATATGACAATTCACTGTGCTTGGTAAAGGTAAAGAAATATATCACAGGTATGACTCTTAATTGTATTACGATATCAGTCTCCATGATTTTCATCCCTAGATAATTTCCTTTGACTGCTTAAAAGTTGTACACATATCCATATACTGTACGTGTATGTATAATAGAACAAAATCATGATTCACACACCTATCCAACGCAGTATCTTGACAAGTCTTGTGTGGATTCTAAGAAACACAGGAAGAAAATCGGGGTGTGCCCTAACCGTCAACCATAAGGGCAATATCAAGGCATGAAGCCACATGCCACACCACATGCCTCTGGGAGGAAACTCAAATGAAAACCAGGAGCATGTTCAAATAGACAAAGAGCTGGAATCTAGAGCTCTGGATATGTGAGGCCCACTGAGCCAGTCCATGTATTTTTTCTTAAAAAACAGAAAAGACTCTTGCATAATCTTTAAGTAAATTATAATATTGAGACTATTGTAAAACTTGCACAAGTGCATTTTCTTACAGCAACAGCATTCCACCCACTACCACTCTGGAAAACCTAAGAGACAAAATTCAAGCAGCTGAAGGAAAATGCTTTGTGGACACTGCATTCTGGGGAGGCGTGGTGCCAGGCAACCACGTAAGTAATCAGATCTTAATACTTTAGATTTAATTAAGTAGCCCTAGTGTGGTCTTGCAAATTGTTCAATATATCATTATTTGAGTATAGTTTAGTTCTGATATATTGGCTATTTGCCCCTTCTGGCCATCATCTTGGCTTATCCAGTGGGAACTCCGGCCCATGATTAAAGCAGGAGTCGTCGGGTTCAAGTGTTTTCTTATCCATAGTGGTGTGGATGAGTTCCCTCACGTTACAGACAGTGACCTGCATGTCACTTTGGAGCAGCTCAAAGGCACTGGAAGCGTTTTACTAGTAAGCCCACTCCTGTCAAACTGTGTTGAAATATACTTTGCCATTGAATATTTAGTTTTGATGAATTACACGCATGCCTCATTGACTATTCTTTGTAAGGATATTTCATAGTTCTTACTTATCATACTTCTAGTTCACTTCTTAATAGTTTGTGTTGATAATATTGCTGACCTACCCACAAAATATCACAGGACAGGGGATGCTTATATTTTTGTAGTCATTAAATTGCAATTCACATGACCATGTCACAGGCACCTGGTTCATTAGTTAATGAGGCATGGCCAGAAGGCAAGATTCATAGTTTTCTTTCTATGTATTGACACTTTAGTTAATGTACGATAATCATCTTGTTAATGCACCTGAAAAATCTGAGGAGTAATGTACTTTAATTAATGACATTTGATACAGAATATACCCTAGCATATGATCAGTAGACTAGCTTAGGCCAATTTTAGTGCCATGGAGTTCTATTTATTCAGATACCAACCATGCTTCAGATGGATTTGTTTTTTTCTTTTATAGTTCCATGCTGAGCAGGAAATTCAGCCTCCATCTGATGAAGATGGTAAGAAGATACATGGAACTACTGAAATAGGGAATGAGGATTCTGTAATGTAGTCATCTATAGTTAAAATACTTGTCAAAACTCCCCTTTTTCATGTTTCACATCATATATTTTCCTGTGAATATGAAATTGAAAAAAAACTAGTGAGGACCAAAGTAGTGTTCAAGAAAACTGCAAACCTATAAATCTTGGACTCCTAAAAATAGACTCCTTCACATGATGCATTCAGTTGGCTGAATATACTTACAACAGAGCAACACAGAACAAAATGAAGACAAAGGATAACATATATATTAGCAATGAGTGCACTAGCTATTGTATGCTATGCTAAATGCTAAGTCTAATGAGACCTCAGTCATGATTTAAGGACTGAGAACTAAGGAGGCATCATATATTTTTGCAGACATGTGGGAGCCCTGTAGCATAGGGCTCTACCTCAGAGCATTAATTTGGCAACAAAAATGTATTTATTTTTGACATGTGAGCAAGGCATGAGTTTAATGAAAAGAGAGTGAAGTTTGACTTGTAAACATTTAATAGTAGAGATAAATTTGGTGGTCCTCAACCATACATTGCCTTGAGTGAGTAGCAGGATTTCGAAGTGCACTTTAGACTTGACTGAGAGCCGTTGTGGGAGCCAGACAAAATATATTGATTTTAAAAGATGCCATCTTTAATAAGACTGAATGTATCTATTCATAGTTTCCACTTCAGATCCTTGTGAATACTCAACTTTCCTGAGATCCAGACCAGACACCATGGAAATGGAGGCCATTAGAACAGTCACACAGCTTTGCCTCAGATACCAGTAAGCCGGCATTATCAGTAAAATCTACCCATTTGCCTGGCCACTGATCAGGAATCATAATGATTAACCCTGTACTGCTGGCCTCACTCCAGGGTACGATGCCACATTGTGCACCTGTCCTCTGCTCAGGCCCTGGGCCTCATTCAAGAGGCACGCTTGGCTGGTGCCCCACTGACAGTGGAGACCACCCACCATTACCTAACTCTCTGTGCTGAAAACATCCCCCCCAGGGCTACCCAATTCAAATGCTGTCCCCCTATTCGAGGGAAGGCTAATCAGGTGAGAGCAGGAGTAAAGAGTAACTTGTTTCTTTATTAAAGATCAAGGAACGTATTCACAAAGCATCTTAAGGCTAAAAGCACCTCCTAAGTTGCCGATTTAGGAGAAACTCCTAAAAATAATGGGCGCGATGGACTCCTAATTTTTTTGACTAGGAGTAATTCACAAAGCCCCTTAGCGCTAACAGTAGCACTTAAGTCTGGGAGAACTAAAAAGTAGTCGAGAAGACTCCTAAGCCACTAAGACCAGGGGTGTTTCACGAAACAGAATTTCTTGCTTAGCCGGTTAACTTGTTGGATTTAAGGTAGTCTGGGTAAATGGTCTTCATCATCGTTTACATTTAGCCCAGACTACCTTAATTCAGACAAGTTGTCCAGCTAAGCAAGAAATCCTACTTCGTGGAACACCCCCCAGTTCACAAACAATCACAAAACGGCTGCTGTCAATCCACATCCCAATGTCTTGGAAACATTAAAAAAAGGCTGAATTACTCAAAGGATACCGCCTCAGTTGCTAGGGAATAACGATTGTTGTGCAACTTGTGAGGGATGCAATAACATCTACAACAAACAGAAACAACCCAATCATGCACAGTGGGAACCGCTTATAGTGATCATTATAACCAATTAAAAAAAAATATATTTTTCTTTATGCCTCTGGCAGATTACCATCTAATTGACGTGTGTATATTTATTATTTGTAAATAGGGTAATAAAACAGACAGCGTCGCTACTGTATGTACTGAATTTTATTGATTCGTTCAAAATACAGTACAGCTGTTTCAAATGCTTTTCAAATTACTGAACTGTGTATAATTAAAATACACTATAATACAGTACTGTACATAAAATACACCTTATTGTAGTTTTACTGCTGCATCTCATTGGCTCAGTTTTGACAATTTATCATTGATAAGTCTATAATTGTCATTGACTTTCTTCTTCCGTCATGTTTTCTATGCATGCAGCATTAGCCACAGGTAGCTAGCCAGAAGCAGACAGGTTACTGCAAGGCAAAGTAAAAAAAACAAAACACTGTAGTTTTAATTTTTTCCATATGTTGTCATGTTTAAAAATAACAAAAATGAACACTGTAAGTGGGCTATTTGATTACAATAAGTGAATTATTTCATTTGTACATGAATGATCTGTCCCAAGCTTTTTGATCCATATATGCTGTTGATCACTATAACCATGATAACTATAAACGGTTTCCACTATATTTGTGTTTATGGGATGTTGCACGTACATTTTCACCAGCATATACTGGCCTCTCGTCAACCAGTCCCTTTGGTTATTGCAGTCAAGCTCATGCATGAGAACTGATGTCAGACATTCTCGTAACTCTTAGCTTAGGAGTTCTTTTCCTAACTAAAAGTTGCTCTCAGACACTTTGTGAATAGGATTTAGGAAGAGACTCTGTAAAAGCTTTTAGTGTGATTTGGGAACACTCTTAGTGGTAAGATAAAATGCTTTGTGAATATGGGCCCAGTACCATAGACCTTTAAGGCTTGCAAAATTTGTTTTTTTCTCTAGGAGCAACTGTGGTCAGCACTGAAATCTGGACTTATTGATATGGTGGTATCAGATCATTCCCCCTGCATTCCAGACCTTAAAACCCTTCAAACTGGAGACTTTTTTCAGGCCTGGGGTGGGATTTCCTCCTTGCAGCTTGGTGAGATCCCATATATATTGTGAAATTCACAGTTCTGTCCAATAAATTTGTGTCTCTGCATTCCCAAGAGCATTTTCTAATATTTAATAGTCTAATTTTCCCCCTAATTTTAAATGAATGTCAAATCCATTTTCACCCCCATCCAGCTAAGCTTTTGGTTGCGCTATTTTCAGTACAAAAGGCCACACAGATAAAGAAAGCAAATAATATGTTTACTAAGTAATTATTTACTATAGAAAGGAGAAGGTAACCAGTTTGGTCAAAGTCCATACACATTATTCTTCAGAACAGAAATACAAAATGTATATTTATAACTACAGTTCATTTTTTATTCTTTTCTAAAGTTTAAGCTTGTAGAGGAAGATGGATTATGTTTTTTTCAAGGCCTAATGTTTAAAGCTTAAGTGGACTGGGAGGCGTTACTGTTGTTCCCAGGAAGAACATGTCATGGTTCAATTTTTGCCTAAAATTCCCGTAGAATTGCCCTTAAGCAGGCAACAAATTAAATGGATTGCAATCTGAAATCTAATTTTAATAAATAAATCATACAAAATAAACACTTTTTTTGTCAAAGGACTTACAAACCATTGACAGTATATAGTGGTTTGGCCAAACCAATTAACACACAAAGGGGTAAACCAAATAATCACTACATATAATTAAACAGAGCAAAACACAACTAAACTCCAACTCCCCACTCTTGCCATGGCAGCACATGGTTCGCTCCTGCTCCAGGGGTTGTCCTTTTAAGATATCTCTGCCCTGAGCCACACCTTTATGCTGAATAGAAAAGACCATCCCCCACAACCAAAGTAACTGCAAACCAAAATGATTGTCTAAATGAATCATTGCACACAACCCTACAATATCAAAATATGTATACTACTCCAACCACAAAAGGCAAAACACATCAACTAAGACCTATGAATTACCGTAAATAAAGCAAAAAGCATGTAACATAAATCAACTAAGGATATAAGTATGTTTCAGGTCTTACTGTGTGACTGTAGCCATCACAAGGGTATTGCATCTTTATAGATGAGAGAGTAATTTTTGTCTCCTGGGAAATGTAGGTTTGTCACTGTTCTGGACTACAGCCAGTAACAAGGGATTTTCAGTTTTGGACATGGTAAGATTACTCTGCCAAAAACCAGCAGAATTGTGTTGCCTTGACAACCAGAAAGGCAGCCTTTCTCCAGGCCATGATGCTGACCTAGTTATATGGGATCCAGACGACGAATTTGAGGCAAGTATTGAGTATTTTATATACTTTTCAAAGAAATATCTAAATGTCTCAATGCTGCAAAACCATAATTGTATTATATTCCAGGTGAAAGATGCAAACATATTTCATAAAAATAAGGTAAAGTATTTATCCACACTGTAAGTTATATAACTTCACTACAGATGTTGTAGTAATACTAATGGGATTGCATTTATAATTAATGAGTGTTTCAAAATATAAGCAGGGATGTTTCTCTTCAGCTGACTCCATATCTTGGCTGCAAACTTCGAGGAGTGGTTTATGCAACTGTTGTCAGGGGGAAGATTGTCTACAGTCAAGGCTCTTTCTCTCCTCAACCTCTCGGAAAACATCTTTTCATTACCCAGCCACAGGCTAATGAAGAACAATCTAGTTTTGCTTCATAGATTGTGTAAATGAATGAATATTGTTTAATTCAATGCATTAATATGTTATGATACTGTTAAATGGACACATTTTACTAGAAAACTAAATTTCAGTAGTTCCATATTTTCTGACTGCCTGTCTATAATTTTTTCTTAGAGTTATATTTATAATAACATGCAATGATGTGCAATATGATTTGCCTTCTGATTGAATAAAGAATAACATTAACCAAATTCTTTGATCAAGAATTAGTTTTCATTTATGTATGTTCACCTTGCCAGCAAATTTTTTTTATGGATATTAGACATTCTCTAATCCTGGAAGCAGTGAACCTGGAGCGTATCCACAAAAAGATAGAGCACAGGGCGAGGGGAGCACTCTGGATAGGGGGACAGTTAGTATGTTCTCCTCACTGCATTTGGGAAATGAATATATGGAGTCACATGTGTGTACAAGGGCTGTGCAAAAAAAATCGATATATCGCGATATTTCCTTTCATGATATACTATATCGATTTCTAGCTCCAAAAATCGATATTTCCGAGGGGGAGTATCATGCAAAATACAACCAGACATTTTGGGAACACCCTGAAGCCACGCTAAGGTGATTCCAATGCGAAAACATTATGGAGGTAGCTGTGCCCAGGGTGTACTAGGAGGTAACGCAAGTTGTAAAAAAATCTCTTCTTTCTGCAGCACGAGTGGCACTTACGTGCGATTGCTGGACTTCGCGAGCCACTGAATCTTACGTTACGATCACCTTGCACCACATTAATGAGGGTTGCCAACTGATTTCCCATGTGTTGTTGAAAGGGGGACCTTTTTCACTGCTGCACCGCTAAAAATGTACAGCGAAAGATCAGAAACGCAAGATATAGCTGACACTGGAGTTGTCAAAAAAAAAGATTCTCAAATACTAATCGATATTAAAAATAAGTATCTGATTAGATACTCATTTTCACCATTATTGATACCAACAGTGCAATTTTTGCCTCATTCGTCACACTTCACACAGCACCACTACAGTGCAGGCGCGCAGCCCCTTCCCCGCCTCTCAATAGCCGCTGAACGCGCTCGCGCTGGTAAACATACACATACCAAGTTGGCCGATCATGAGATATGCTGCAGTTGAAGGCACTTAGCAAGCTGCTTTATTTTTTAAAATACATTTTTGCCATTTGGAATTATTTTGCAGAGGAGCATGGAAAGGCTAATGATGTCAATAAGCCTCTAAGCAAACTGCTACAAAGATGTGGCGACGAAGTCAAGTAGCACGATATACACTCACCTAAAGGATTATTAGGAACACCTGTTCAGTTTCTCATTAATGCAATTATCTAATCAACCAATCATATGGCAGTTGCTTCAATGCATTTAGGGGTGTGGTCCTGGTCAAGACAATCTCCTGAACTCCAAACTGAATGTCAGAATGGGAAAGAAAGG